CAGGAATCTGTAAAACTCCACTCTGCCACTGAGCCTTCACAAACCTGAAGTGACTGAAACTGCAGAGAGTGCAGGGATGACACAAGTGGCTGCGGACGGATTTGTCACGCAATGATCTGCGACGTTAAAGACTCCAGTTCTCCAAGCATGGTGCTAACACTGCATACACACACTGTATAAAGTAATATATAATAAAGCTGTGGCCATCAGATCATATCATAGCTAGACCAATTTGAATTTATAATACTGAGCTATAAATTGCTATTCGCTTAACACCACCAAATTTCCTCAAGTCTGTAAAAACTAATTCCACTCTGCTCTTGCCGGCAGCTGTCAGTATGCCATTAGAAAGTTAGTACTGTGGAGTGACAAACGACGAATTCCTTTTTATCTTCTCTTCCCAAAGTGTTAAGTTACAATACTGTACATATGAAGACAGATCTGCAAGTCAAAACTGTAAACAGCTACCAAGCTGCTGAAGTCTGAACTGCCGTAACCCGGATGTACTTGACACTTCTCCTGCCTTAGCCAGCACGCCGCTTAACGGCTCCTCTCCCAGTCTTCCAGCACGTTGTAAGTTTGGCAAGTAGCTACATAATGAACGAAAGACGCTACACAGAAGAGAAAAAGAAGTTACGCTTGAAAACATCAGTACAACTGGAAAGAAAATTAGTCTGTATTTAACAGGGTAGGTTTTTGGTTTGGTATGTGACTAATTTCCCCCCCTCCCCCTTCCTTTAAGTTGATGGCATAAATCAGCTCTAGCTTCTTCCCCAGCCCCCACCACCACAGCCACTGTGAATCTCTGCCTTAAACTTCCCCACAGCATGCATGCAAGTCTCTAAACTCAAAAGCATTCCAAGTGGGGAAATACCAACTCTGGACGGAGTCCAGATCTGATGATACAAACTACAAGTAAATGCTTGGAAATTTAACAAGTGACAGCAGCTACCTAAATATCTTAATAAACACTTCACAATGCACATGCATTAAGGGACGTTTTCTGAAACTTTATAAACACCCAGTTTCTTGTAGTTTACACTTTCCAAAGAGCTAGTCAATGGTTCCTACAAAGCCCTGCACATACAAAACAGATTAATAAAATGATGCAGCCAAAGGCGGCTTCCACCTCCCCTGCCCACCTTAGAAGCACCCACTCAGCGAAATCTTCCTCTTTTTACTACACCTGTTTTAAGAGAGTAAGGAAATAAGAGTACCTATAGATATACTTGTTTAATTCAAAGAAGCTAGTGTTTTATTCTGTGTGATGACATCCAAGCAAGAAGCAAAAGGAAACTAAACAATAGAAAATTACTGAACTGGAAAAAGCATTTGTGTTCCTTAGAAGAATATCTAACTTTATCTAAAAATTACAGCTGCCCAAGTTTTGCTCTAACAAGCACAAGCAGTTATTTTAATGCAAGGCTTACTCTTTAAAAAAAATAAGCAAATATGACTTATTGGCCTAATACCTCTATCTGCTTGGTCTAGTGAGTACGAATAACTCTATTATTTTTTAAACTGACAAAAAACTAGGCATGGAACTTCATATTTAAACTGCAAATCATCTCAAGTATAGATTGAATCCTAACTTTGATCTAAGGTATCACACCACTGTATTTATTTAAATTGCTATGTCATACAAGGAAACTCAATGCAACAGAATTTTCACAGAGCGGGCTTATAGAAATAACCTGAGGTAATAAAACAGGGTAATGCTTAATGGATTAAAGAAAATCTTTCCAAGTCAATAAAATCTTACACAAGACTTGCAACCTATCCCACAAGCACCAGACTTCCTTGAAAAGCTGGTATTCATCATCCAAATCTTAGGCTGCAGAGAAACACTGTGTGTAAAATTAAACATTCTGGTGTCACACTGACAAAGAAAACAGAAAAGAGAAGAAAATGTTTCGAACCAGCAATCTTCCTCACGATCCTGACCGGCTGTTTATGCAGCCAAGCACGTGATCTAAGCATCCCCATTACTACTGCTGCACTTTTACTGCCCATTACCAGAGAAATTGCATTTTGGCACCTAGCAAATGGTTTGTAATGGATGATCTTTTCTGTTCCAGATCAAAATTCTGCAATGAGTATTACCCGCTCAAAGATACAAAATCATGATTTGCAACCACATTCAACTCGGCCGTCTTCCCGCCAGGTGCTGGACCGCAGCATGTCAGCCCCGACGACGTCTCGCAGACAGACCTGAGGTTCGCAGCAAGACGACGCAGCCCCCTCCCACGATACAGTGCTCGGAACAGCACGACAAAGCCTCAGAGGAGCTTCTGATAATTCGGAGTTTACACTCAGAGTCAGACGTCTCTGGCAATTCAGCACTCAAACCAAAAAGCTGATGAGGTATGGAAGTGCTTCCATTCCCGTAACAGGAGTACCGGGAATGAAGATTAATGCTGATCATATGCATGGTTCTTTGCATTTCTATGTCTTCACGTCAGTAACTTACTTCAGGTTTTGTATTTTTCCAGTCAGATCTGAGAGTTCCCAAAGCACTGCTCATGTCTACAACGCATGAACTGGCTTCCCTGGAAACAGCACTCAGCTGGAAAAGAGCAAGAGTGATAAAAGCAAAAACTGCACCAGGGAATAAGAGAAAGAAATCCTTTTTGGTTTACCTTTTGAATTTATGAAGCACTTTGTTATCATCAAGATTAGCATAGCGTAAGAAAACCTTGGTGGGCAGACTGAAAAGAAACCAATTTTGACAGCCTGGTTTTCCTCTTATTCTTTCATTCTACCATCTTCCCTACTTCTTGGTCACTCCTTCCCATCATCCATACCTTTAATCCATATTCCACACCACCTTACAGAATCACAAGCACTCTGGCCACCCTGACACTGCGTTATCCTGTAGATATGGAACAGTTCAGTTTTACAGACAGCCAGCCTGGAGCAGTAGAAGACACACGTTATCCAAAAGCCTGGACATTTCCAGAAAAACTTTGCTAACAGCCAGTTAGCATTCCCTGAGAAGGATGTGCTAATTAGAACATGAGTACATTTCCACAACTTCTTTAAAACATCATCTCAAGAGCACCTTTAGTTTTCACGAGGAATAAAATCTCCTCCTGCTTTTTCCAACAAGAGCTTTAAATCTACTGTTGCCTTCAGGTGAGGTTTTCTCTAGCCAAGGGCATAGTACTTCCTCACATTTTTATTGATGCTCTAATTACGAGTGTAGGATTTGTCCTAGAAATATAATAGGAACACACAGGTTTTATTATCCAAATCAAGTCTTTTTTTTTCCCCTCTACTTGTTTGGTGACTACGTCAGCTAAGGCCTGACACACAGTTTACAGTTCATGCGCACTCAAGGCTAGACTGGGTTCACAGCCGAGTTGCATGTGAAGTAAATGCATCACAATTCCGCACTGGCACAGCTTTTGGCTGACGGACAGTTTGCCCTTCTGCAGTGACCTCGGTGAACTGCAGTAAATCTCCGGTGTTTCTAAGTCCAACCCATGATTACATGGAAATCTCAATTTCACATTTTATTTTGCCTCTTAAAGCAGGGTTTGAGCCATCAGAGTTGTGCAGAGAAGTCTGGAAATATGTAAATGTTTAGGAAACAAAAATCAGAAGAACCAACAAATACGTATTTTTTTAAATCTATCGTCATATTTTTCAATCCATCTCATGATTTCTGGATCTTCCAGATTGGACAGTCTGGCTGCACGACGGATGTCAATACATGCATCGCTTCCTCTCCGCCAAAGCATGGACTGTGTCACACTCCTCTGCAGACCTCTTGATTTAAAAGGCAGCTGGAAAGTAACATTTTTTCGAGAGATCATTAGTTGTGGAATTAATTTGCTGTTGGTCTGGTCACTTGTGAATCTTGTGGATATGCTCCCAAGTACTGAGGGAGGAAGCAACTGAAGGATTTGTGTTATTTATAGTGTTTGAATGGGAGAGTTCTAGTGTACTGCATCTGAAAAAGCATATTTATTTATTGGATGAGTTTTGCCATGAAAATTAAACTATGTAAAAGCATAAGCAAGCACAGATCGTGTATCTTTTAACATATAAGCAGAAATACACATCACTGCAGTATTGGTATTTGAAAAAAAAAAAAAAAATCCACCCCAAAACCACAAGAAATTACACATTTCATTATCAGACTGTGGTTCTATATACATTTATGTCCAAACATATCCCTACTCATGCCACACTAAATAAGGCATATCCATTCAGGAAAAGCAGTTATAAATCGCTGCAACACTGGAATCTATAGTGGACTTCACAGAATTCAGATTATTTTCACTAAAGTGAAAATAAAGTACAGGAAACTGGTATTATCTCAGTGCCTTACAGACCATTACAAAAAGAAACAAAGAACACAGGGAGAAAGCTAAACACAAACAAAACCTGTCTCTCTGGTTCCACACCCATTTATACCTGCTAAGCATTGCTGACTGCAGGATTTCACTGCTTCATTAAGTGGCAACTTGTGAACTGCAATCTGGCATAGCTGCGTAACCCTTGCTGTCAAAACCCCAACCAACCTAACAATGCATATACACACATGAAATAAATAACCGTTCAATATTCTCCAAATGAGCTGTGTTTCAAGGCCGAGTATAGTGGGCCACAGTCAAATTCATTTAAAATCTAGTTCAGTGTACACATTCAATTTAAATGTTATGATCTGTTCTACCTTTTTGCGATGATGGGTGAATTCTCTTTGAATAATGCGTCTTACACAAATGCGGTTCTCGACTTCTTTGAAGTCCATGGTCAGGCTAACTATTTCCACAAAGCACCTAAAAGTAAAGTCATTGTGGATAACAAATTGTACTAAATATATATGTAATGTGAAGAATGTCACTACATAACAAATAAATTTTAAAAAACACACACTCTAAAGGGATGGGGTGTCCTGTTATTCCAATCCACCCTCCAACCACAGGATTTTACACCTTCCTCTCAGAAACACAAAAAACAAAGCAGCCTGAAAAAAAACCTCTAGTTATTTGCAAAGTAGATTCACTGAGGAGCTCTTTTGGATTGACGCTAGCATCACATTTCCTTCTGACATTCCATAGTTTACTGTATTTCATCATAATCAATATTTATATTGCATAACTTTGATACAGATCAGACAGAACGTCCCAGCTCTGACATTCTACTCAGTGTAGGCTGTATCCACTTCTTCTTAGGATAACAGTTCAGTCATTAAATGTAATACTAAATAAGATTTTAAGACAGCAGATGGCATCACTTAGTTATTTAACTGTTGTACATTGACCATTTACTGTGCAGCATAATCGATTTCTGACGATTAGTAAATGGAGCTCTATGGACATGATAGAAGAGTGACACTTCAAAAAAAAAAATACAGTATCACCATTTTACCTACCTGGTTGCCTTGATCTCTACTGAGTTCCATACAGGCATCGTAAAGGAGCCCACTGTTTGCCACAGCTGTGGCTGCCCTTCTTTGATTCAGCAGATACTTCCAAGCCCTTAAGTGAGCCTCCTACAAGCCACCAGCTGAAGCTCTTCATTAGAACAGCAAGAGTAACAGCTGGCTTTCAGAAACCCAGCAGATGTGACTACAGCTTAGTGGTAATTTATAGATGGTCTTCCTCATCTGTTCTCACAGGGATCACTATTAGAGCTACATCATGCCATCAGGTACAAATTCACAAAATATTTCGAACCACTGTCAGAGGAGTTGCCCATTCAACAAATCAAGAGTTGACAAAAGTGGTGAATGCTAGCAAAGCTCAGCATCACACGGGAAGTAACAGACCCGGCTCCAAGCTTTGCGAGGGGCTGCAAAACAAGACTGGCTATTCAATCTTCTTTTCGTCATTTCTTTCTCCTTACATAATACATAGAATGTTGTGGGGAAAAAAGGCAGAAAGAGACATTTCCTTTGTGTATCCAGATGACAAAGATTTGGAAAGGTAAACCATAAAAACACAGGCGTCTGCGCACAGGCTCAAACTGCTGTACAGCAAATGGGAATTCAGAGAAGGCAATGTACCAAGTCATTTTTCTGATCCTTTTCAGAAGAATAACAAAACCATTATGTACTACTCAGGGTATTCAGAAAGTGGCTGTCACAGTAGTTTGTAGGTGTTACAGTAAGAGTTCGTGATCAGAAAGGTTTTGGTGTTTTTTCTTTTTTTCCCCCAGGTGCCATTTGATCAGAGCAGATGCCAGAAAGCACAGTGAGGGTGCGGAGCTTCTGATGCCATCAGGGAGCAGGCGGGTGTCCTTCAGCAGCCTGTGTGGCAAGATTTGTAACTTCAAAGAGGGTAGCCCACGGTGCAGACCTGGTGCAGAGGTGGCCCTGTGCTGGCTGATCCCTGTAAGTGCCCTTGCTAACTCAGCCCTCCTGATCCACACACCATTCCACAGAGCACAGCGGAGAGCAACGGGAGGGTCGCTCCGAACCTTGTGTGACAGAGATGTGTGGGAAACGGGGAAAAGGCCAGACAGAGAAGGGAAGAAACAAGCCAGAGTACAGGAGAAACGCTCTCCTCCTTCCACAGATGTACACAGCTCTGCTTTTCTTTACCCAGTTCTAACTTTCTCTCTGGTCTTGCCTTTTTAAAAACTATTCAGAGAGCCACGCTGTACATACCATATGAACACAGAGATGGCAGCCTTGCAGAATATTTAGCAATTCTTTGCAGCGTTGCCAACAGTTTATCCTTGCTGGATGGGTAAGTGCAAATACCCACCAGCATGCACCTGTAGTGTTTAGTGTGCATTTGATAGCAGCCAGGAGCTTGACCTGAACATCTTCGGTCTGTAGTATGAGATTTTCAGTGAAAAATAAATTACAAAAACCAACCTGGCAAAGCAATTTGTGAAGCAGCTATAGATTTCTTCAGGACAGAAAAAAATCACTACAGAGAATACTGGAAACAAACATTAGAACTAATGAAGAGGTTATAAAATCTTTCCATTTTATCTCTTTCTAAAGATCTGTTTTCTCCCTCGGTGTTCAGATCAGCACATTAGCAGCACTACCAAAGCATTCATCCTCTTTCTGCTCTCAGCCTAGGGAGGAAAATAAGCTTTTTCAGCCACTCAGAGCATGCCACTATACTTCTGAAAAGCAAACAGAAGAGGGAAGAAGGGGTCAGACTCTGATACAATAAATTACATAACCATTCTCAAGTTTGGTGGGTTTTTTTTTTTATGGAAGTCACCTTCTAAAGCTTTGGCTCTGTGTGCTTTAGACAGTGTCTTTTCTTTTTTCCCCTGAGGGTTAATTTTTTTTTTCCAACCTGCTAGTAATACAAATCGAATGTCATTTTTTCTCTGTAATGGAATGCATTAGGCATATAAATCCAACAACAACATGAACCCAAACCAGCAACACCATTACTAATGTCATGATAATTGGCATTAATACTCATTGTAGCCATATGCTTTCTGCTGAGTCAGTTCTGAAATACATACTAGTCCAAAAGGCATTAGACAGAAGATACAAGACTAAATTCCTAGAAGTCACCAAACAGTCAGTAATATTATCTATAGTGAATATCACTACCATAGTGACAAGAATTATACAATACAGTAGCCTACAGCAGCAGAGGTTAACCTCAAGTGATCCTGCCCTGTCCTATCTTACAGCTGCAGCTGAACAAAAGAGATGACATGGACATGGAAGCTAAAAACTGCAGGGCACTAACTCAGGAGAACCGTACTCACTGTCACAAGCAACATGGGGTAGACTTCAAATTTTAGATGAAGCATTTACATTTCAATATCAGACTGTATTTTAACATTATTAGAAGTCTAAAATTACACATAGAGGTCTAGCAGGGCTTTCTAAAACAGAAGCAAGTCAGTTCCTGAATACTGAAGCTGCTCTGGCCCACTCAATGAATTTTGTAAAAACTGAATCTCATAATCAAACTATACAGTATGTTCTTTATGCAGAGACACACATACATACACAAAGAAAAAACATTTTCTATAATCACAGGGAAAGTTCCATCGCCATGTCTGTATTATTTCACATTCAGCTACAGCAAGGTTTTAAGCTAACCTATGAACATAAAGCATTATATTCTCCCCAGCTTCCTTCTGGCAGGGACAAACAGGTCTCCAGAGCTCCACTAGCTCCTATGATGAACCCCTACAGGATCCACTTCCCGATTTGCCTTCCTGCACGTTCAGATTTATTGCCTTCCCAAACCCTCTTTCCCCCTTCTTCTGGGCTAGTCTTGCCAGCTAAATTCTGAATTTATATGAACAGTGAGAATGGATGGTTTCTCAAGCAAGTAACAATTCACTTACACTTTTATCCCAGCCTCAGCTGTCCTAGTTGGTTTGCAGACACCTGTGCAGCAATTGCCAACGGACTGGCTATCTCCTCGCTTCCTTTAATAGGGTGCAACTCCGAAAACCTGAAAAATGATCTCCTCCTTTCTGCCTTTTGCAGTGCTTTTAAACTGGTGGTGGGAGGAGCAGAAAGTCTCCCTATCACGTCATGTGAGAAAAAGCTAAAATTCCCATCAGAAGTGACTCACCGACATTAATCATATATACACCAGATTGAAAGGCACTCAGAACAGGCAGCTTCAATCCCATTCTCAGCTAAGCAAATGAGAAGCAAATTGCTCAACACTATCATATTATTTTAACTGCCATATCTGTACAATTTTGCACAATAGAGCTGATGAATATAAATTAATTATTTCTAGCACTGAACTCAGAGAGAAGTGCTGCTGAATCTTTTGGAAGACGAAACAGCTGAGTAACATGCAACTTCCTTTATTCTGAAATGAAGAAGCATCAATGTAAAGATTTTTGTAAACAAGACATTCGCATCACTTACCACCTGGTTTATGCTTCAGAATAAATATCCTTATCGCTTAACCAAGCAGATGCACATGAGAATCTGCAGTAACCAAATTACAGTGCAGCTTGAAATACTGCAGCTTCTGTTTGCTTCTCACTGGGAACACTGTGAGGTTTTATTCAATAATACTAAATCCAAGTACAAAAATCCAAGGGGTACGGTTCAGATTCAACACTACAACTAAATGTTGGGGGCAAGGAAGGTTGAAGAAAAACCAAAAACATAGTAAGAAAAAATTCTACCATCTCTGAAATGTAGCTTGAGAATGAGAGTATTTATTTTCTTCTTTAAAAAAAGACAACAAAGTCACATTTGGAAATATATGCATCCTACTGAATCTACAAAGCAGGGAATTTTCCAATTCGTACTATGTATGCAATACTGCTCTACTTTCTTCACAAAGTGGATTCAGGCTTTTTGCCCTTCTGGCGTTTCTGATTTTGCCTAATATTAACTAACCAGCTCCTAAGGAACTATACTCAGAATTACAGGTGAAGAATATTCTATTAGCCATAAAAACAACAGAATAATTTTAAAGAGTGAACTACGCTGCTCCTGTTTTTCAGGGGAGTATTCTAATGCCCAGGAACTAGATTATGATCTGTCACGGTCCTGTAAATTCAGGATAAATCAAGTGTTGCTCTAACATTACCTTGGCATAAAAGAAATCAAGGCCTTGTTGCAACAAAGCGCTTGAGCTATTGCCAAGTTAACAATTTCTACTGGCATTTAATCGTAGTGTGTTTCCTGAAGCTAAGGCACAGCTTTAGCGTGAGCAGGGCTACTCTGAGCAAGAGACTTGTTCTGTTCAAATCAACGCTGGTCTGACAAATAGCTTTAATATGTAGCAGTGTGTGACACAAAACTGGCCAAGGATGTAAATTTAGCTCCTCAATGAATGTTAAAGAATACTCAACTTGGAAATGCTAACTACCACTATAAATAATAAAATATTTAAGTATATCCTACTTACATTTCGCAAACGTAAGAGCAAACCAGTCAAATTTCCTTCTGGGCAGATACATAAATATAAGAG